TAAGGTAACCAGTCTCACAAGACTGGCCTCTGGGTGCACTTAGAGCGGCTAGCTCGGTGCCCTGAAGCAGCGAACCGGCAGGGGACGACCATACTAGCTGCTCTTGAGATCTCCATGGAGGTAGCGAGCCCCTTAGCTCCGCTACGGTTCTGGGCGGTAACTGAGAGAAGCGCTCGCAGGAGACCGCTGCGCCCTGGAACACCGGCAAGCTTGGCAGACTGATCTTCTGAGGGCACTGAGGAGAGATGGGCACTGTGTAATGCGGTGTACACTACGTTTCATGGCGGTAACTGAGAGAGCGCTCGCCGGAGACCGCTGCGCCCTGGAACACGGCAGGGTTGGCAAACCGACCTTCTGAGGGCACTGAGGAGAGACGGGCACTGTGTAATGTGGTGTACACCGCTCTTCTCCAGAGGGGCTGGCCTTCAGATGTCCTAGGCCTTAGGCGTCAGGACGTTTTTTAGACGAAGACTATCCAGTGAGAATGACAGTCCACAGAACCGCCTTCTGCTAGAAACCTTCGACCTGGGAGCGCCACTCTGACTCTAGACTCTGCGGAGTACGAGAAGTGAGGCCCCCAGAATGAGGGGCTGGAACACGGTAGGTTGGGACTGCTCCCGCCCAGCAGGCCCTGCTGACTGCCTCAACCTCCTCAGAGGAAGAGAGGTAAACACGTGCTCTCACTCGCGAAGTTTTTTATCCCAAGAGCCCCTGTATATCTAACTTCTCATAGTCAGATAAATACTTCATTTTATTCCTCAGAATTAAATGCAATCAAACAACCAAACAAGTAAACACGGTCTGCTGTGGTAAGATTCACATCAAAAACCGAAATTATGTAATACACGTGTTGCCTCTGCAGCGCGCGAGCCATTTGGTCACACAAACAATATCAATCTCCTCTGAGAAAAATAGCTGCAGCAGCGAGCTCTCACTCAGAGGGGGAAGAAACCACATGACTCGGTACTGTCTAAGTCAGTTTAGTCTCTGAGAAAAATAGCTGCAGCAGCGAGCTCTCACTCAGAGGGGGAAGAAACCGCAGCGTGGGCTTCCGAGCCTCGAGAACGAGATCTAGATCTAGGGAACGCGGGTGGAGATAGGAAGAGACGTCTCCAACCCGTCCGCCAGATCATGTGTGATCCCTGCGATCTTAGTCGCCGCCGTGCCTCAGCAGAAGCAGGACCGGAATCGCAAGATCACAGGCATGGACACACTCCTCGGAGCTTGCCTGGCGAGTGCGGAGCGCTTAACAGCGGGAAAAGCACAATCAGCCCTTGAGAGCCGACTGCGGAACCCACGAGCACAGCCGCAGCTCGGCACCGTGAGAAACGCTAGTGAAGGCTCCCTCCTCAAAGAGAGCCCTCTGAGAGCAAAGCAAGGCAGTAACAAAAGAGAGCCCTCTGAGAGCAAAGCAAGGCAGTAACAAAACGCTCGCAATGCGAGCTGACTCTGCGTGCTTCCCTCCCAAGCAGACAACACACAAACTGTGTGTGTCCCCACCCGAAATATAGCACGGGCAGGGAGGAACATACAGCCTAAACGCTGCCTGCTCGCCCAAATGCTTCTCTTGACTGAAGCTTTGACATAATGGAACTTATAAGTGGACAAACAACACTAAATAAGACTCATAAACAGATAGCGACTGACACACACACAAAGCGCTTGCTGAATGACAGAAAGCTGACGCCGGTTCCACCGCATGTGCTTTTAAGCTTCCTGGTCGTTACATCACCCCGCCCGTGACGTCTCGCCCATCCATTGGACTGATTACACATGTGATTCAGAGCGTAGCTTTTCAACACAGCTCGAGATCTTGAAGGAGAACTCAATTTAAAATATTACTGTAACACAACTTTTGTCATGTTGCTCTCGGGATTGACTTTTAAATAAAAACTGTTTTTTTGTAGTATTTGATTGAATTCGTCACTCACTTGTGCATTCAGACACACATATTTTCTTGTGTTCTTCTGCAAGCATCTGGTCATCTGGACAAAAGCAACCTGATCTCAGACCAACCACAGAGGTTGCAGGCACGCGAACACTGAGGAGACAATAGGAGTTGGGCGTGAGGTCATACATGAAACATTATGCCTAGCAGCAAACATGCAATCCTAATCCTAAGCAAAATAAAAATCAAATCAAATCAAATGAAACCAAATCAAATACTATTTAAAAGAAAAAATCTACAGAAAGTAAAAGGTGGTGCATTGGCAGTTTTTCATTGAAACTCAATCTTTTAATTGCAAGGTGAAATGTGAAGCAGGGCTTGAAATCTGGGAATGCTTGAATCATTTAAAGTAAAATCTTTCTCACCCGCCTTGACAGACATCATTTGGAGACTCTTGACACTCGTTGTACATCATTCCTTCAGGACATGTGATCTCTAAAACACAGTGGAATATTATTAGAAGAGCACAACGCTTTGAAAGTCTACTACTAAAGCATTTTGTTATTGGAGATTAGGTTACCATATCAAATGCACACACAAAACAAAGTTTTGGCCAGTAAAATTACAGTAACTTATCCTACAATATCAAACTATGAATTCCACAAATTCAAACTTTTATGAACCTCAAAGGATTCGTAAAGACTTGCAGGTCTTTAAACATGTATATACGTAAACTATTAGGTTTTAAGATGATGTTGATATGTTGTAGACATCAGTACACAAATGTACAAAAATATAAGCGTGCTACTGTGCTTTCATACAGTTTTCTTACCACAGGAGCCATTGGTAAGGTATCTCCAGTCCACACAAATACCAATCCTTTTGCACTCTGATGCTGCATACTCCAGAGAGGAACAGGCACCAACACGACTATTGTATGAACAGTAGTCAAACCGGCAATTCTTCTCCACAGCCATAATATTGATCGTTTCACCACACTTCAGAAACACTCTGAGTAAAAGATGTTAGCACCAATTATTACAATGCAACAAGCCAAAAAAAATCATCAAGTTGTTTGTCTTTTTTTTTTATTATTTCCATAACCGAGCTATTATGCTTATTGACCTCAGTGGATTTAAAAATATCCAACAGTGGCTTACTCATGGTGAAGGAGGTCGCATATTGTAGGATTGCAGGAAGGTGGAGGTGGAGGTGCCGAGGTAGGGACACAAGGAACACTGGTGAGTGCAGATTTGCAGTAGGGTTTCAGAGGGTCTTCTACAACCCAATCATATGCAGTCTTATCACAGCAGTTGTCATCTTCAACTACACCATTTCTTCGTATGCACGACTGCCCACCACAAACACCTATGAAGTCAAATGGAGAATGAATGCCATAAAACAATTTCTTTAAAGTCTGTGATATCATATGTACCATGAACCATACATTGTCTAATGTGACAATTACTTTCCATCAAAGGTTAAATGATTTTAATGGCGTACCACACTGTCCTTGGGTGTTGTTTTGGAAGTGCTCCATTGCCAGGTTGATTAACAGATTGTTGAAAGGTGTGAGAGAAACATAGGAGCGGATAGGCTTGATATACATGTAGACCTGGCTACCACTGCTTTCAAACTTGAAGACCTGATCTTCGTATGGTGGTCTTATAATCTCCTGGTTCAAAGTAGACTGGAAAAAGATAGAGACAATCTGCTTATCATCAAAGCTCAAGGGAACTATCATCCCCAGTCATTGACAGAAATAGACCAGCAGAGAACTGTAGGTTTGGGGCAAAAATCAATTTTATTGTTAGATATTAGAGTTTCTTGAACTTGAGTTGAGTTTATTTTCTTTGAACATTCAGAGATGTTTGGTTAAAAAATAATAGTATATGTAATTTGATATTGATAATATCAAATATACATAATCAAATGTATGGCTCTGTGACACTTAATACATTAGTACATAAGAAAATAGGATAATTCTTAAAT